GTATCTCAACCTCTTAAAGGGTGCCAAGCTAGAATTTAGACCAGTGTCAGTAAGGATAGACTACCTTTCAACTGCAGCACACATTACATCATGAGTGCCCAGACACTACTACCACATGACAGGCCTATTAAGAAGCTCTAATTGGTTCATTTTCTCGTCTTTCAATTAAATCTCTATTTATTTCAGCAATACAAAAGCATTATGCCGGTCTTAAGATAACTTTTTGTTGTCTTCCCTTTTCCATTCCTGTACTTTTAATAACCAACCACAAAGAACATGGTCTTTGGAGTTAAAATCTATATTTCTCCACTTCCTAGCCTTATGACCTTGGGCAAGTGACTGAACTGATCTATGAAATATGAATCATGGGAAGTCTGTTGTAGGAGCAGAGATAAAAAGTGAAAAGGGTACGGCCCAATACCTGGACCTCAGAAGGAGTTCAATAAGTGATAGCAATTATTGGGTTGTCAGAAAATTCCTAACATATTTTTTCTATGTTTTTCGTTGCAAAAATGCATCATGACTTTTCCGACACCCCAATATTATGCACAAAAATACAATGTCGAGAACCCCTGCTCAAGGAAGTACTCACTGAGGGTGATGAAGTGATTCACCCAAGGTTATATTCAAATATTGAAGGTCAACGTATCGTTTAGTGTGTGTCAGATACTAGTTTAAGTGCTTTATGTATATTAACTCATTTAACCCTAACAAGAACCTTATAAGGTAGATATGATACCCCTCCCATTTTACAGATGAGAAAACAGAGATTCGGAGACATTGTATAATTTTTCTAAGGCCACATGCCTAGGTAACAACAAAGACAGGATTCAAATGCTAGCAGTCAGCTTCACACTCCCATCTTTAGCGGGCCAGCTATATTGCCTCCCCACTCTGATTATAGACTGAAATCTGAGCCTGAAATGCAAATCCATTACTATTAGTTGACTATTATTTTTGTTGTTGTGCTGTTAATAAACGGTTCTGAAAAATGCCTCCTCAAAAGCACAGTCGGCCCTCCATATCAGCAGTTTCACATCTGCAGATTCAACCAACTGCAGGTCGAAATCAGTATTTTCCTTCTGGGGGCTGGGAACCTGCAGAGGGCCAATTGCATTGTTCTACACCATTTCATATGAGGGACTTGAGCATCCATGGATTTTGGTATCCGAAGGGGTTCTGAAACCAATACCCTACGGATACTGAGGGATGGCTGTATTAATTGCTAGTTGCCTGATGCTATCAAAATTAGCTCAAAGACAGACATATTGCGGAGATTCTTGTGTGTGCAAAAACTCTGCATAGGCAGGCAATTGCCAGGGGCACGGCATGGCTAGAATCTGTGGTGTCCATCTCAGCGTGGCCCCAGCCTTCTCTGAGTTTCATCTAACATAGCCCCAATGCCAGTAGGATTCAATTCATCCTGGCCCTAAATATAATTTACTAGCAATAAGACAATGTTTACAGGCTTGTGTTCATTTAGAATTTTAAAACAAATTCCTAATATGTGTGCAACAACTGTAAAATATTGCAAGAGGATTTCTAGAGACATAATTTATTTTTAGAGTGAGATGATAAGTGATAAAGAAGGAAGGTTAGATGAGCATTAAATGCATCCACTTGGAACTCAAGCTCAAGGATTTTGTTTCATCTATTTAGCTACTCCCTTTGCCTGAATTGCCTGCTGTTCACCTCCTAAACCAACTGAAATCCTGCTCCTCCTTTCCGACCTGGTCCAAATGCCACTTCCTCTGAGATACTGTTCCTGACGCCACCATTATATTTAATCACTGCTTGGTCAATACTTCCACAGCTCCTGGCTTATGCCTTTATTTTGCCCTGATCACAATCTGCCTGGCTTTAGAGCTGTTTGTCTCCACCACCTCCTGGAAATGGTGGGGAAGCAGGAATCAATAAGGAGTGGGTTTGACCTGATGGTTAAAGCAGGAGTTTCAGAATCAGACACAACTCAACTTGGATCTTGACTGCCATTCAACTTCCATCAGACCTTTGGAAAATTGACCACTGGGACGCTCAGATATTTTACCTCTCAAGTAAAGATAATATGAGTGAGCATGCTCTGTACTCAGACTCCTTGGTTCAAATTTTGGGCTCATTACTTCAATTCATGTCTAAGTTGCTTTTCCTATAAAACAAGGATGATAGAGCAATTATCTCTTAGAGAAAATTAAAGTAATTGATTTATGTAAATTATTTAGAACAAATAAGCTCTCAAGAAATGTCAGTTATTTTTAATGTGACTATCCTGTACAGTTATGCTGAGGAAAACATAGCATACTGTCTATAAAGAGGTAAGCATGCAGAAAATGTCACAAAAAAAAACCCCAAAAATGGTACCTATGACTGTGCTGTTACTGTGCTCTCCCAGTACTTTGCACAATGCCTTGTCTTTAGAAGACCTCCCCCCGCCAAAAAAAAATATATATATATTGTTCAGTGAAATGTTTACTGTAAGAATCCAGAACATGGCAATAAATTTATAATGAGGCATCGAGATAGGGTCAGCACAGGCCTTGTCTACTTCTTAGCTGTTGCTTCTCTCGTTGCTTCAAGATGATCTAGCAGCTTGTATGAAGAATATTTTTATCAATAGATTAAGTACAAAAATGTACCTCTGTCCTTGATATTCCCTTTACTGGCCCTGCATACCATGTAGATGGTAAAAATACTAAAGAAGATATACTAAAATCTGCCATTCTCCCTGTGGAGCTTTACACAAGCCGGACCTTTATCATCATTTATAGAAACACAGGCCAGCAGAAGAATAGCAGTGTGAACATGGGAGAATTGGTAAGTTTGGCCTCCTAAGGTTTTTTTTTTCTTTCAGAGAGACACAAGAAATGACGGCTAATTTATAGCAACTCATAAAGTCTAAATGGACCTGACATGCAGGTTAACGAAGGCCCAAGCAAGCTATAAAGGCTGTGTCTGTAAATAGATGCGACTGTTTGTGCAGCTTATCAATGTGGGCACATTTTTATATATATTTTCAAATCCTGAACACAGAAAACGGATCACATGATTTAGATGACTTCTTTTTTTTTCTAACAGGGCTATTAGAAATAAAGACTCTCTATATACAAGATCCAAACTCAATACACATAATCTAATATGTGATCCCAGAGAGGAGTAAAGTATTTGGAATCAGCACTCCTAGAAAGAGCCTTAACAACCAAAGAGGTAATCTCTCCTTATTTAAAGCCCCTCTAATATTTGCAGTAACCTAGGGGCATCGTGTCATTGTACCCATGACACAGTGTGATAAAACTGAAATTTAATCACTGAACTCTGGGTAGCACACATGGCATTAGTGCCAATTGTTTTGAATGTATGCTACATGTCGTGTCCTTATACAAATATGAAAATATATCCTTATAAGCATTCTACTGGCTCTGGACATAGTAAATGGAAGTACATGACAATAAACATTATAAGCATAACCAGAGGGATGAACTTAAGAAATAGTTCATAGAAATTACTTTTATATCACTGTCAATATTAGTCTTCTCTATTCATTTTCAACAATGGTTTCAAGAAAGAAATGCCAGATTTTAAGAAACCATCCCTCTTCTTAAATGCCAGCTTTGTTGAAATGAAAACAATTTTATTAAGCTGTAAGCAAAATAAGCATTCTCTGAGGGTTTTGATTATTTCTCTTTGTGAAAATAAAAAGGATTTCAATACACTCAAATGAAACAATGAAAGAAATGTGGAGGCAGAGTTGCATTTGTAAGGGTGAATTATATAATTTAAATGCAGTCAACCATTAGAAATACAGTTGATGATGGACACAAGAAACTCATTTTTCTAGTACATGCCCATCTTGTGCTAGCAAGATATTTTTAGCTAATTAGTTTGCTCAAATGACTCTCCTACCCCATTTGCTTGACTAAAGATGGAGCAGGGGAACTTCAGCAAGATATAGTGATTTTATGGTGGCATACAGACAAGGCAGGAACAAGTCATTGATGGAAAATAGCTTATTCAAAGCAATGTGACACATAGCAAAATTAGTGTGGCTGTTTTCCCAAGGTAAAAAAAAAAAGCCATTGAACTTCTCAATTTATTTGAATACTTTTGTAAAGACTGGAGAATCGAATAGTATTAAAAATTTAGTTGGAAAATTAAATGGAAAAAA